ATGAAAAAAAAACATTATTTCTATTTCTTCTACTTGGTTGTGTTCTATGACTTTTTCTATGTTTCCATTGTTTGCAAATCTGTTATTTCAATGGTTGCTCATGAAATGTAGAACAGTGTTAATTCAGTGTTATTTTTAGCCTATATCAAATTGTCCAGGATTTCTCGCTCTTTTCCATTCTAATAATTACACCAACCCAAGTTTTGTCTACAGATGCAATATGCCAACGAATATCACCTACGTACAATCTCCAAGAAGTGGTAAAAAGGCAGAAACCAACCCATACAATAGATATAAGTTAACTCCAAAAGAAATAATTTTAGGAGTTACTGTGATATTAGGATTTTCCACTGATTTGGTAACAGAACATTATATTGCAAAACATGACACGATGCAGAAGAAAATCCATTTTAAAATCAGAAAAACCCATTGCAAATACTGTACTTCATTTTGACAAATTCAATAAATCACAATTTAAATATTAACAGCTGTTTCATTAAAAAGTAGTGTAGAATTATGCATATGGTCGTAATGTAAACAAATCTGAAGAGGCAACTTTAAAGGCTTCTGGGGCGGAGCCCCAAGGGAATTTACCTCGTTCCTCTTTTGATGGCTCATCTACAGACCAAGACCTTTCTTTAGAGACCCCTACCAAGTTTTTACGCCCAGCCGTTCTCTCAAATTAGCTGTGACAAAAACCCCGTTTTCCTCCATAAGAATAATATGGGATGGGAATTCAAAGGCCACTGGGGCAGAGCCCCAAGGGAATTCACCAAATTCTCTTTTGATGGCTCATCTACAGACCAAGACCTTTCTTTAGACACCTCTACCGAGTTTCTATGCCCAGCCGTTCTCTCAAAATAGCTGTGACAAAGAAAAACAGTTTCAAATTAATATATAGATACTGTATACAGTATCCATTTAAACGGTCCATTTTAACAATAACCGGAAAACTCGTTATCCGGACTGGCCTCGGTCCCGAAGAGTCCGGATGAGAGGGAGTCTACTGTACCAGCTAATATGAAAATCCTATATACTAAAAAACTTTTGCAAAACTTATGACAGCTATTATAGTCCGGTAATTAAAGATAAATATATAGTGGAGGTTCAACAAAATTGTTTCAAAAGGTTTTTCAACGGATTTCATTACTTTTATACCTCCACACAACACAAAAAAAGTCTAACAAAATCTGATTTGGGGAAGTACCTAATATTAGGGTATTTAAATAAAAATAATAATTGCTCAAAAAAAAAGTTAAAAACATTATTGCTAGATATAGTGTGTAGTATATCGTTTTTAATGATTACAAGGGTGGGGAAACTAAATCTGCAACTAAAAATATGATTTGACCTCATTTGACCCCACAAAATGGCCAACAAACTAGATTCATGGAGAAAAAACTAAAATAAAACTTACCTTTGGATATAGGGTATAGTATATCGAATCCAATGTTTACAAGGGTGGCAAAACCGAAAATGCAACTTAAAATATGATTGTATCTAATTTGAGGTCATAAGATGGAAGTCACTAAAATACGCTCTATGAAGGGAAAAGTAAAAAAAAAACTTACCTTTAGAAATAGGTTGTGGTTATTCGATTTTAACTTTTACAAAGGCCAGTAAACTAAATATGCAACTTGACAGTGGTGTAAGATGGGATACTGGGGCACATGGATTATTTTTACATAGGATATAATAATGGTATTTTAAAATAGTAATAAATTGAATTCAATGAACACACGTTTTAATATAAATTAAACCGAAAACAATTTGTTCATTTAATGCACATTTGTTTGAATATTGTTTAAATGGACTGAGGTGTTGTCCGATAGACCCACATATCTGTCATTTGTAACATTTTTAACAAATTTCCCATACAGGGAATAAGACATAAGTCTCATGGTAAGACCTGGACCCGGGACCGATTTACTTTTTCCTTTTGATGTTCCCAGAATAAAAAAAAATCCGTTAAAATTCAAAAAATATATATATGTGTGTGTGTGTGTGTGTGTGTGTGTCCGTTAACACGATAACTCGAGCAAAAATGATCCGATTTGGATGAACTTTGGTACAAACGTAACCTAACCTACATTCATTGGAACGAGTTCACGAACCAGCATGATTGGACCATGGGAACGGAGTTTTATGGGCGGATTTATGGGGTAAAAATAGGGTTTTTTCATTTGTCACCCTCTAAATATAACATTTCCCAATTTCTCTCTAGACCCTTTTAAGACACAAATAGTTATTAGACACAAATAATTTAGTTTATTGAAGTGTTTTTGTATGATTTTTGGTTACGGAGAAAATTTAAAACAATCGTAGGAATTCAAAATTCTCATGTTATTCTTATGAAGAATAAATAAACTGTTGTAGTTTGCTTCTTTATGAATATATTTTGATCAAACTTGGTAAGTTTATTTATTTTATACCAAGCTATCAATGTTTTACTAAAAGACACACTTTATTATCCTCCCTGTAGCAGCAAACCTAGGCACTCGTTAAGCCTAATGATATTGAAATAGATTTAATTGAAAATCAAATCAGGTAAATAGAATTTTACTTAGTCTGCAGGTTTTCTGTGGCGGAGGTATTAGAAATTGTATTACTCTGTCACTTCAAACGTTTCACTTGAATAATGGGTTTGCCCATTTGGCCTTTACAAAAGTTAAAATCGCCTTATTACAACATATTTCTAAAGGTAAGTTTTTTAACTTTTCCCTCCATGGAGCGTATTTTGGTGACTTCCATCTTATGACCTTACATTTTATATAATCATATTTTAAGTTGCATTTTTTGTTTTGCCACCCTTGTAAACATTGAATTCGATATACTACACCCTATATCTAAAAGTAAGTTTTATTAGCGAATTTCCCTATAGGGAAGTAGCTATTACCGTAGGTCTCATGGTAAGACCTAAGCCCGGGACCGATTTACTTTTTCATTTTGATGTCCCCAGAGGACAGAAACACCATTTGTTCAAATTTTTATATATCTATATATATATATATATATATATATATATCTATATATATAAAAGGCAAAGCCCTCACTGACTCACTGACCTTCAACTAGGACGAGGGAGCGCAGCGAACGAGCTCCAACCAGGACGTGATTGAGCCATGCGAACGAGTTCACATATGAAGTTAAACGGGGCAAAGCCCGCGGGTACAGCTAGTATATATCCGCACGATAACTTGAGTAATTTTTGTCTGATTTTGATAAAATTTGGTTTGAAGGTGTAAGGCGGGATAAACTTGAATGAGTTTGCGAAACAGCATGATCGGACTATGGGAACGGGGGTTTATGGGGGGTTTTATGGGGTAAAAATAGGTTTTTCCCATTTTTGACCCTAAAAACACAAACTTTCACAATTTATTTTTAAACCATTTTGTAGAGCTTAAAAAAACAAATAATTTAGTATATTGAAGCGTTATTATGCGCCTAATTGTTACGGAGAAAATTTTAAAAAATTGTAATTTTAAAATTCCCATGTTAGTCTTATGGAGAATAAGTCAACTGTTGTAGTTTGCTTGTTTATGAACATATTTTGATAAAATTTGGAAAATACATTAATTTCTTACTAAATCACAGTACCTTTTAATTTACATAAAAAAAACTTGTTTACCCTCCCTGTTGCAGCAAACCTAAGTACTCATTAAACTAATTCTGTTTAAATAGGGAATACATGTGATATTTTTAAAGAGACATTTTAGTTTAAATCCAATCAGGCAAATGGAAATTCGCTAAGTCTGCAGGTTTGCTGCGGCGGGGGTATTTTAGTTTTTTTTTTCTCCATGAATCTATTTTGGCGGCCATTTTGTGGGGTCAAATGAGGTCAAATCACAATTTAAGTTTCAGATTTAGTTTTCCCACCCTTGTTAACAATAAAAACGATATACTACTCACTATATGTAGCAATAATTTTTTTAACTATTTTTTTTTTAGCAATTATTATTTTTATTTAAATACTCTAATATTAGGTACTTCCCCAAGTCAGATTTTGATAGACTTTTTTTTGTGTTGTGTGGAGGTATAAAAGTAATGAAATCCATTGAAAAACCTTTTGAAACAATTTTGTTGAACCTCCACTACTCAATGACTGGACTACTAGCCTGACCATACTACTGGACCTGAATTACACACGGTTGGTACCAAATTAAAGATATTTTCCTGTATATGTGCAGAATCTCTTTATAAACTAAATAGGCTCAAAATTGAGCACGAAAAATGAATTTTAAATTTAAAAAAATTTACATGGGCCTTAAACATATTCTTATTCTTATTCTTATTCTTATGAGTTGCCATGTTAGATGATGAAATAACAACAAAATATAAACAGAAAATCAAAACAAATTAAAGAAATCCCAATCACATGTTTTATTTACAGCGTGGGTTGAAAATAGAGAAGTTTGCACAATGCATACTTTTGGTTGAGTTTTTGACCACAGGGCGAGCTCTTGTATTGCTTAGTACATTTTAATTAGTGTTGAAAATTAGTGAACGGGTGATGTTGCAACGTTGCGCTAGTCCAGTCTAGGTATTAGCTGCCGCCAACTGCAGACTCTCATGGTCCCTAGTATAGTTAGTATTTCAGAATACAAAACTTTGTTTTTAAACTAAATAAAGTTTACCTTTTCTCCCTGACTAATTGTTCAGATATTGGATTGATATTATATGATACTTAAGATAGACCTTCTTGCTCTAAGACCAATCTCTACCTCCACAGAGACTTTCTGATTCCCAAACTGGCCATTTGGCACCCCTAAGCCCCAGCCAGCTCTAACAGGCTTTTTGGAATAGGAAAAAAGGTGCGTACAACTTAATTTATACATTCTAGCCACCATTTTTGTTCTACTGGTATGTAGGTTTAGTATAATTAGTTTTTTTAAGAATTTGAATTCAATATATTGTTATTTGGGACATTGGTACACATCAATGTAAAAAATACCTTAGTGTAAAAATAGTATAGGAAATTGGTAAGATTAATGTATAGGTAATAAACTTTAAATCAACAAAATGTACTTTGACATGGATACAACCAGGGATCGAAGACATCATATGTGAAACCATAACAGAAGCTGTGTACAGAGAAATACATTATCTTCATCACCAGGGATTTCAAAATGTACCTTTCTATGGATACAACCAGAATTGACCTCGTCATTCAACCGTAGACATCGTATGTGACCCCATAACAGAAGCTGTGTACAGAGAAATACATTATCTTCATCACCAGGGATTTCAAACTTTTGGTTGGCTGTGCATACAAAAGTGCATATTGGTCTTTAAAAGTGTCAATTTAAAAATACAAAACCACTTTAATAGTTTGTAAATGAACTCATAATAGTATAATAATACAAAGAGAAAAATAAGTGGGAAATGTGAATAAGAGTATAAAATCATTGACACTTTCTAAATATATTTCATTATTACTAGTGTGTTATTTTTAACTTCATCATATTGACATCAATGGGAAAAAGGACACTTTCATCAACCCCTGAAACAAGATACTATGTTGGATTTCCCTTGCAAAATAAATTTCCCAAGCCTTAAATGACAAGTTATTATGTCTAGATGACATACGGTAATACTTTTTAAATAGACACTAGATAAGATTAATATACCTGTTGTGTTGAGTTGTTTATTTGTTCAGATAAAATGGGGGTTGAAGATGTTTGTCCAAGTAATAGCACACAAAATAATACAACAATATTATAATACTCTATGCTCTGTGATAAAATAATACACTTGCAAGTTTCTCTTAATAAGCCATTCAATGAGTTCACTTCTGTTAAAGAATAAACATTGTACTTAGTCATTTAAATCTTTAATTTTTATTTTTTAATGTAACTTGTAACCTAAAATGGTTTGTTTACCACATACATTTACATATACTACCTTTACTCTGATGATTCTTTTATGTTATAATTCTAGTTTGAAACTTAGACTCCTTATCAGCAAGAGATAGATGTTGTTATGTGATATGTGAGATGAAGTTATTTGTGTGTGTGTTTGCGTTGTTAAGTGTGTGCGTCTCATTGGACTATCGGTACAGCTTAGAGGCAGATCTCTCATCAAAGTACGATGATGAGATATTTGACAAAAACACCAACGAGGACACAATGGAGTTCATGGATCAAATTAAGGTGTAGCATATCAAACTTAATACTTCCTCTTCACAAATCACAAACCAGTCATCCCATCTATATATGGACATGCTGTAGCCAAATTTGTATTCATAAGAAACATATTTGAATGAGCAACACACAGAGCGTATTGCTCCGTGATCTCGGTAGATAACCCGCGCGATCGTGGGAGATGAAGATTACAACCCCACGAACACGGAAAACGCTTCGTTGTTATCGAGGACAATATCGTTCTTTTTTGCCGCAATCGCAAAGGTTGTTTGGACCAATTGTACAAAATATAATGAATAATATAAAGCAAATATATATATATATATATTTTTTTTTAAGGGAGAGGAGGGATAATGCTTTTACGCACACAGGTAGCCAGCCTGTAGTATGAGACCCCTGAATCTATCACAGACTACTCACTAAAAAACCCCCTCTACTCTGTTGGACACAGACCTGGAATTGTTTTTCACATTACTTCAAGTCAGGCCAACATGTGACCTAAGCCCTCAGGGCTCTCACCGTTTTTGGCATTTAGATACTTCATGACCTACACCGCATCCCGGTCAAGGTCGAGCTTCTTGGCACGGAGAATACCCTGGATGTAATGTAACACACAGGTCCAATTGTCCTCACCCTCCGTCATCATCGGTATGACCGTGTCCACTGACAGCAGTCCTACTAACTGTTGAGCCTCCAGGCGGGGCCTTTCCCAACGCTGGCAGTGGAAAAAGGTACGATGTCATCGGGAATGCCTGGGCAGTATATGCAATTGGGTGACACGGCTTTGCCCATCTTGAACAGGTACGACCGGAAAAAGCCGTGACCCGTCAGAAATTGGGTAAATAGAAGTCCACCTCTCTGCACCGCCGATAAACCCAAGGTTGGACTTGCTGTATCAGTCGCCTGGTCCAGCGTCCCCGAGTCTCCTGTTCCCAGCTCTCCTGCCACAGCTAGTAGGTGCGGGTGTGTTCCTCTGTTCGTGCCTGGTCCTCCCCACGGCGCTGATAAATTGCTTTTCTCTCCGCCGCCAAAAGTTTGACGGGGATGACTCCAGCAACCACCAGGACGGCGGGTTCGGACAATGTTCGGTAGGCGGATGCAACTCTTCTGACGCTGCACTCGGGCGAGCCGCATCCTATATACCTCCTTATTGAGAGCGTCTGCCCACACCTCAGCACCGTACAAGAGTACGGACTGGACAGAAGACATTAACAGCCTTCTATGGCTGGACCGAGGCCCTCCGACATTGGCCATCAACCGGCTAAAAGAGAGGAGACCACCCTAGCGGCCTTGTCCGCTGTACGGATAATATGATCCCGCCAGCTAAGCTTGCTGTCCACCATAATCCCAAGGTACTTGGCAGAACGAACGGTCTGGACTTCGACGGCCCCTACCCTCAACGGCACGATGGTGTCAATCCGTTTTTTTGTTAATATCACGATCTCAGTTTTGCTCAAAGCAAGCGAGAGACCGTGGTCTGTCATCCATGCATTTAAGAAAATATAATCGTACTGTATTTTATACAAGTATATTATCTACTAAATAAAAAAATATTAAAAGGAGTGACAATAAAAAACCTGATTTGTGTTACTTCTGAGTTCGTGCTCATTACGAATCTCCCACTCATAAAAACGTAAAATGTTAAAAGCATAAAAAAATTTTAATTTAGCTTAATTCAAAATTTTTCTCAGATAAAAAAATAGATTACATTCAAAATAGTTGAAGTAGCCTTGAACCTATAAGATAATTAACATACAAAATACATTAAAAGTATATATATATTTCACTGTTTAGGGTTACTTTTTTTTGAGCAGCACGAAGCAAAACTCTTTGGGATCGACTTCAATGCAGACTTTCTAACACATTAAAGTTAAAACTTTCTAACACAAAGTTTTTTAAATTTTGACATTGGTCTTAGTTATGGGTTGCCATGATGGTTACAAAATAATAAAAGTACAGTAAATGTAAACAAAGCAAATAATCATAGCATATATGTTCAAGCGGAGTACCCGTCCTTCGTACGGGGTTGGCATATAAGTATAAAATGCTTATTGCAGTTATACTCAAATCAAGCTTTGCGTTTTTGATGGGGGAAGACACATTTTGATAAAATTTGCTTCTTTAAATTTACAGTATACTACAGTATAATAGTATTACACATCTACCATAGCCATAATATTCCACCACTTCACCTAAACAAAAAAAAATTATTAAAAGTTCACAAAATATCAAAAATTATTCGTGAAATTAAAAACATAAACATAACTGTAAACAATCCTACTTTGACAGTTCTCATTGCATATCACAGCATTTTGTTGCAGCTTAGCTGTTTTCATAAATTAGCTGTTTTGATAAATGCAAAAAAAATATAGTGCTGCACCCTGTTGGTAAATCTTATAACTTTTAATGCTTTTGCATTATCATAGAACAAACTTTTTTAGTTGAAACAGCTGACTAAATTCTTTAATTCCCTTTAAAGATGAACAAGCTGCTATACCCGTGCTTTGCAACGGAAAGAAAATGTGACCTAGAGAGCTATTAAAGTGGTGCTGATGTGTGTTTTAAAATACAGCAACTCTATGATTTAGTTTGAAAATATAAACTGATTTAATAGCGTAAACCTACTTACTTTCAAATCCCTACTTTTGACGTTAATATTGTTATAAGAATATGACAACATACCTTAGTGTAGCAATAGCATCAATTGCTTCATATTGATGCTTCATGAATGACATGTTTTACCCTAATTCTTCAGTTTTAGTTAAGCCTCTTCACATGTAGCTTACTATATAAATAAAAATACCCCCGCCGCAGCAAACCTGCCGACTAAGCGAATTTCCATTTGTCCGAATTGATTTTCAGTTAAATATATTTTAATAACATTAGGTTTAACGAGTACCTAGGTTTGCTGCTACAAGGAAACTAATAAAGTGTGTTTTTGAGTAAAATATTGATAGCTTAGTACAAAATAAATAAATTTGCCAAGTTTGATCGAAATATATCCATAAACAAGCAAACTACAACATTTGACAATATTCTCCATAACAATAACATGGGAATTTTAAATTTAGAATTTTTTCAATTTTCTCTGTTACTAATAATCGAACAAAAATACTTTTATATACTAAATTATTTGTTTTTTTAAGCTCTTTAAAAAGGTCTAAAGAGAAATCGGGAAATTTTGTGTTTTGAGGGTCAAAAGTGAGAAAAACCAATTTTTACCCCATAAAACCCCCCGTAAAGCCCCGTTCCCATGGTCCGATCGTGCTGGTTCGCGAACTCATTCAAGTTTATCCTGCTTTACACCTTTAAACCAAATTTCATCAAAATCGGACAAAAATTACTCAAGTTATTGCGTTCACGGACGTATATATATATATATATATATATATATAGATATAAGTCTATATATATATATATATAAGTCTATATATATATACATATATAAAAATTTGAACGAATGGTGTTTTTGGCCTCTGGGGACATCAAAATGAAAAAGTAAATCGGTCCCGGGTCTAGGTCTTACCGTGCCTCCTACGGTAATAGCTACTTCCCTATTGGGAAATTCGCTAAAATGAAACTTTGAGCAATACTTACAAAACGTATATACAACCTTTCTTTAAAATCAAACATAACCCTCCTCATACATAAAGCGCCACAAACATCTTTTTCGAGTAAATAAACAAACACCATTCATTGTACTGACCAGCTGTTTCATTAACTAAAAATTAAATTAAATCATTTAAACATTGGAAGCATGCCAGGCGTAGCTCTTTGGGGAAATCAGCCTGTGGGGCAGAGCCCTTAGGAAATCCGTCCATATCAATACTTTTCGGCAAATCTACACACTCTAAGCTTCATTTTGATGTGCCATATGCCTATATTTTTATTTGGTTAATGACCTTAACCGTTTACATAAAATTTGATTGTATCACTTTAATAATATAATAGATACTCATAAGGTTAACATCGGAAACTACTGAGCCACTGGAGCGGAGCCCGAAAGGATTTTTGAAATAAGAATATGCCTATATGTTAATCAGGAACAGGCCCGGTCTGGCTCCATTGGAGGCCCTCGGCTAGATGTTGATTTCAGGCCCCAGCCAGAAATAAAACAAGGACCATGGGGTGCTCTCACGGCAACAATTAATTAGTTAGCATATATGTTTGCTACATGCCGCAGGTGCATAAAAGGGGCCTAATGTGGTTTTAAATGATTAAAAGTTTTTGATAATTTTGATTAAATAAATAATTGCTAAATTTCCATAAATTAAAATCTTTGTATTTATAAATTTAATTCCAAGGTATCAATCAATTTAAATTTGATATAAAATTTGCTCCTATTTCTATTCACCTCTACAGCTGCCATAAAACTTAAAGGCCTATTCTTAAAATTGTTTTAAGTCTTCAATTTAAAAATAAGACCAAAACCTAGTTCTTGGAGTTTTTGCCATACATGGTAAAAAAGCATATCACGTACCACTTTTGAATTTTGAATACATCTATGAATGGACCACATTTACTGTTTATCACACACTTTACTCCATAGTTGTAATTCAGCAACAAAGACAAACAGAAATAATCAAAAGTATTTTAATTTAAACGTTGTAAGGCTTACAAAAAACTTCTGATGATTTCCGCCTGCCTGTTTGCGACTTCTCATTGTTAGCAGAATCGGAACTGAAACCAGCTAACCTGCTAACCATAAGTTCAAACAGTTTGATTTTAATTTGTTTTTATTTTGAAATATTTCCTATCCATTTTTATTTTACTGGCGCCACTTGGGTGCACACGT